GACAAGATTTATCAGTGGAAAAAATGCAAGTCATATGTAACATGTTTACTAAGCTCTGAAGCTAAATCCCATCAGGCCCAGAACCTGTCAATCAGTACTCAAATGAAAATGAAAGCATTAAAAAAACTTTAGTGATAACTCGGAGATAGCATTAGCAAATCAACAGGAAAACTTACATCATGGTCATTGATCTCCTTCTCCCATCTCTCTAAATTCCATGTATCAACTCCTTTAGCCCCGTAGTATTCTTCGACGTCAAAATTTGTAAGATCTTTTATAATCTTAAATTGCTGCAAATTGAAAGCACAAAACAAGGTAATTCATAACCTGCCGTTGAACCAACATTGCACTTTAGTCCTCAACACCAGTAACAAACAAGTGTGTCTGAAATTTCACCTATCAACTGTCTGAAATTGCGGTGTTAAAGGGGATAGTGGAATATACCAACTTCGACAGAAACCAAACGAAAAGGAAGCGAAGCTAAAAAGGAAAAAACTTTCGGTTTCGAACTTACCTGATTGACAAGATGAACAGTCGGAGCTAAGAAAATAATCAATTTTTTCACGCCACTATACTTGATAGACTGGCCAATGTCATTTATGAGCATGACAGCAATGAAGGTTTTACCAGAACCAGTCTCCAACACTGCTATTGTGTTCTGTTTTCTTGCTACTTCAAACACTTCTAATTGGTACCTACAACGAAACCCATAAAGCATTATCAAAAGCCAAATTTAAAATTTCAAAAATAACTATGAAGAAAAAGATGGGGAAAGAAAAACAATACTTTCTAGGGTGAATGTGCTGGGTTTCCATAGAAGACAGCGATGCTTGTACAGGAGAACAATGAGCGTCCAAGTTAGAGTTTATCTCGTCAAAATTTTGATCAAGAGAACTATTGTACTTGTGTGATGAGTCCATGACGAAATCTAGAAGAGGAAGGGACTAATGCTTTAACTGATCAACTGAGAAAGAGTTCAACTTGTGCATGTCGAGGCGATTGAGATTAGGAGACAGATATTGGAACACAAAAACCAGCGCCCGAGAAGCAGGATTGTGCGTATGCTTATGTGGGTTTCTCAGTGATCAACACTTCAAGGAGTGGAACAGGGAATTGTGACTCGGGTATTCTCTAGTTTTCTTCTTTTCCCTGTTCTCTTTCAGAATTTTTATATTCATTATTAAATTAGAAAAATAAAAACAGAATTGCCATGTCACCAAACAACTAAAAAAAATAAAGTAACTCCAAAAAATTTCAATATCTATTGTTATTAAAAAATTTATTAATTATGTTGAACGTTATAGACAAAAATAAATTTTTGAACTTCAATCTTTTTATAAAATTATTTTAAGTATAAATAAATAAATTTAAATTGTTAAAATTTTGTTCTGCAAAATTCATAACAGCAATATAAACAAAATAAAAAAAATTCTAATTTATAAAAATTATAATAGTAATTTTATAAAATATTAAATCTGTGTTATGAATATAATATACGATTCATATTTATTCTATTATCTTCAATATTTTTCATTATCTTTCTTCTTTGGTATAATTCACAGTATTCTTAAGTCACTTTAGATTTCAAACTAATCTCTATTGGACCGAAAGCGTTAAGACTAAAACTCTCCCAACAAGTACGTTTATCGATATTCGAATTTGTGTTTTCCTCTTTATGATAGATAAGACTTGTTTGCCATTTTAACTAGTAACTTATTGATTATCTTCCATTATCTTTATTATCTTACAATTATCTTCTATTATTATGAAATCTATAGATTGAATTAAAGTTGTGACATTGTGCTTATAAATAAAAGTCATACTACCTCCGGTCCTAATTATAAGACTCAGTTGACTAATTTGAGGAGATTAAAGAAAGAAGTTAAGTTAGTTATTTGTAATATATAGGTGTTGTATTTTCTAAAATATCCTTACTAATCAACTATATTAGCTAGAACTACAATTATTAGAAAGATTACCTTGAAAAAAATACATAAATATAAGAGACAAAGTGGATTAGGGTCTTATATTTAGGACCAAAATAAAAGTCAAACAGGGTCTTATATTAAGGACCGGAGGTAGTATATCATATGTTATGTACTTTAAAAGGAATTTAAAAAAATACTCTTCCTTGTTTCTATTTCTCTACGGAAGAATCCCCTTTTAATTTAGGATGTGTTTGCCAGTTTGGATCACAGGGAGAAGGGTTTGGAAGGATTTTAACAAAAGAATGGGGAGGAAAAGGAGGTGAGAGGATTTACCTTTACGTTGCCTCTTTGACTTAGGGGGTGTTTGGCTTTTTTGCCAAACCATGGTTTGGCAAAAAAATTTGCCAAACACCCCCAATTTTTTTAAAACCTTGGTTTTGCCCAACAAAACCTCGGTTCCAGATAAGCAGGCGGGGGATCGATTATTGCTTCAATTATTGGCTCTCCCCAACAAAACCGAGCTTGCGAAGGACTTGGCTTCAACGGTCAGCTCACGGTGGGAACAAGCACGCGGGGTATACTCTTCAGCTCACGGTCAAGATCTCTTCCGCCTCTTCTCTCCCATTCATTGCTGTCAGCCTCTCTATTCAGCTCACCTGAAGATCTCGAGTTGCTCTGTTTCTCACTGGAGAAGAATCGAAGGAAAAAAGCCAGCCATCCGGTCCTGTGTCGTCGGTGAGATCTTCCCATCCCTCAGGAATATCAGCGCCGGCGACGTGTTTCTGGGCTTGCCAAGACATCACCGCGCATTGGGTTCGGTCGATCGGAGCCATCCGGTTCTGATCTCTTCGCTTTTAGTCCGTCTCAGGTTGCCTTGCTCGGTTCCACCTCTCATATCCAGAACTCCGGTAAGCTGCCTCCGTGAACTCCGGTTAGGATTCTCTGGTCGATTTTCCAAATGTCGGTCGATTTTTTCCCCCCGGTCGATTTTCGCCTCTGGTTTCGGTCTGTAATGTGCACACCTCTGTGGTGCTTTGAAATGACGTACGGTCGATTCCCCCCGGTCGATATCCCCCCCGGTTGATATTCCCCCCTATTTCGGTCTGTAATATATATGTGCTCACCGTAATTATTATGCTTTGAATCATTTCGGTCTGTAATATTACCTCCCGGATTTTTTCCCCCCACACAGCGGTGGTTTCACCGATAACTTTGGATCATTGGTGGCTTCATTTTGTTTCCCCCCACACAGCTGTTAATTTCGTTAATTTCGAGCTGACCGTTTGGTTTGGATGCTGGTTTCATTATGTTGTGTGTGGCTGTTCGTTGTGCAATTTTGGTAGCTGGAAATTTTTTTCGTGTGTGTGTCTTTTTTCCCATATTCGTATGTTGTGTTTTGGAGACAGACCAGTCGATCATGCTGTGTGTATTCGGTTGGATTATGGGTGTTTGTGCTGATGAAATTATTTTTATTTCTCTAATCAAAATCCTACGAATGAGTTAACCAATTTCTATGTTTCAAATTTTGATCAGTTAACCAACAGTATAATTAGTGGTTGAACTTCAATTTTGGTCAGTTAACCGAAAAGAACTCCCTGAAATGATGGGAAAAAAAGTCATCATTAATTTTGCAATATCAATTATTAATGAGGCCTCATTTTGCTAGAAAAAAGAACATGTGGCTATACTTGTTAAATACTATACCTGTTATATCATATCTCCTGGACTGAATGATATGCTTTTTGGGTTGAACTTGTCATGACTGAACTGTTGTAATTGGTTTATAGCATAATGAATAAAAAAAAATAGCAAGGCTTCGTGGGATATAAGAGCCACAAAGATCTTTATTGACCTGTGTATTGAAGAAGTTGAAAGAGGGGGAAGAAGAGGAACTAGCATGACAAAGCCTGCTTGGACAAGTATTGAGGAGAACTTTACTGCAAAGACTGGGAGGGTTTATACGAAAATCCAATTAAAGAACAAATTTGATACCTTGCGAAAGGAGTGGCAGTTATGGGATAAGCTGCTCCGTGAGACAGGTTTAGGGTGGGATGCTGAAAGGAATACTGTTAGTGCCCCTGATGATTGGTGGGAGAAGAAAATAGTGGTAATCATTTAACTTTATTTGAACTTGTATTTTCTCCCATGTTAACTTTTTTGTATAATGTATAATATTTTTGGTGTTGAATGCGCAGGAAGTTCCAGGCTATGAGAAATTTAGAGAAAGAGGGCTTCAATTTCGGGCTGAATTGACTCAACTCTTTGGGTCTGTAGCTGCGACTGGACCACAGTCATGGGCACCTTCTTCCATGACACTTCCAAGCGAAGGAGTTCCTGAAGATGATATGGAAGAAGGATCTGGAGATAGTGATGAAATTTTGGGGGCACCAACTGGCATAAGCGGGGAGTTTAATTCAGTCACATTCAATGACAATAGTGGAGGAAGTGGAGGCAACACTGGAATGAGACAGGAAACTATTCGTGGGGGTAGAAGCACAGGTGGCAGTCGACCTAGTAGCTCATTAGGGGTTAAAAAAGGGTGAATCCATGAAGAAGAAACCTACTACCACTATGAAAATAGCAGATGCACTAAGCAGGATAGCTCAGGCAAATGAAAATGATTCTCAGCGTGAACATGAAGAGATTTCAGAAGCACGTGCTAGGAAGTTAGAAGAAGAAGCACGTGCTTATGAGACGTCAATTGCGGGAGTCATGGAGCACCTTAATGAAGTTGATGAAATTGTTGATGATCCTGATCTATTTGGCCGGTGCACAACACTCCTTATGGACAAGCCAGCTGCAAGGGAGATGTATGTGGCTCTGAAGAACAAGAGGGAAAAACTACTGATCTTCTTGAAGCATGCAACTAAGGATTGAGACTTCATTTGTGTTGCTTACAAGATGACTATGATAATTTGTATCTATTTTTAGGAATGATGTAACCAGACTATTGTATTATGTGACTACTGAATTTCTGTAGGAATTAAACAACTTATTTTCTTGTTAAATGTTAAGTAATTTCATATCAGGGTTTCTGAATTTTATGTCTATGTGCACAGGACAAGACAAAAAATGGCTGATGAAATTAAAATTGCGGAAAAGTATCGTAAACGACGGAACAAACGGGTTAATCAAGTTGCAGTAGCGGTTGGTGGATACGCTTCTCTTCATTTGTGTAAAGAGCCCCAGCATACAAGTATTTATACAGGCAAGGCATGGGTAAGGGATGTTTTACAAGGCCATTCCACTCGTTGTTATAACATGTTTAGGATGGAAAGAGAAGTGTTCTTTAGTCTTTGCACAGAATTGCAACAACACGGTCTAAGGGAAACTAGAAATGTTGGGATACATGAAATGGTTGCAATGTTTTTAAATACTGTTGGCCATGCGCTTAGTAGTAGGATGCAACAAGAAAGATTTCAGCATTCAGGGGAGACAATTAGTAGACATTTTCATAATGTCTTACTGGCATGCTGTAGACTTGCTATGACCAACATCAAACCAAAAGATCCAACGTTTCAGCATTTGCATACTAAAATACGGCCTGGTGGTCGATACTGGCCCTTTTTCAAACATGCTATTGGAGCAATTGATGGAACACATATTTCGTGCATTGTTGATGCAACTGAGCAAACAAAATTTATTAACCGAAAAGGAAGAGTGACGCAAAATGTAATGGCTGTTTGCGATTGGGACATGTGCTTCACTTTTGTATTGGCCAGATGGGAAGGTAGTGCGCATGATGCTCGTATATTTGACCACGCCCTTACAACTCCTTCCATGAACTTTCCTCATCCGCCTCAAGGTATATTTTAAATTCCCACAATTTATTTATGCTTAACTGTTACGAAAAAAATTTTATTGACACCAATCATATATTTCATGTAGGCAAATATTATTTGGTGGATGCTGGCTATCCGACGCCCATGGGATACCTTGGTCCCTACAGACGTGAACGCTACCATCTCCCTGATTTCCGAAGGTCATCTGCACTTGAAAATGACAATGAGGCGTTCAATTATTTGCACTCAAGTCTACGGAGCACTATCGAAAGAACTTTTGGAGTTTGGAAGAGTAAGTTTGCAATTTTAGGAAACATGCCGAGCTATGACTTTGCAACACAGGTTCAAATTGTTTGTGCAACGATGGCCATACATAACTTCATTAGATCAACATCCATTTCTGATCCTGGTTTCATTCAGTTTGAACAAGAAGGTTCTTATGCAGAAGAAAATGATGATGATGGAGTTGGATCTTCACATATACCTTCATCAGTAGATTCTTCATCTCACATGGTTCGGCTTCGTGACTCCATAAGAGATCAAATTATTCACTACATACAAGAATAGTTATGTCCTTTTTTTTTTCTTTTTTCTTTTCACATAATGTAATGTGTTGTTAAAAAAACCTACTTGAACAAATATATTTCGTTGCAACCTCTATTATTAACACAATTAATATGAAATTTTTTTGTGTGGTTATTTAATTTTGTGAAACAAAATTATTAGATTTCATCTTTCAAATCTTTAAGAAATAATAATATTTTCTTTGGCAAAATAAATCATTTTGCTAAAAACATATTTATTTATTTTATTACTATATATACACGGAAATTTTTTATTATTTATTTATTTATACCTTATTTATTATGTTGGCAAAATATATATTATTAATAAATTTATTACTTAAAATAAACATATATTATGAAATATATCTTATATGTAATTATCATTTAAACTTATGTCCTTTTTAGTAATTTTCACATATCAAAAAGCACTTCTGACATTAATTATCCAAACACTCTCACTTTCTCAGAATCACTTTTTCAAAAAATCTATTCTTTCAAAATCTATTCTCTCCATAATCTATTCTCCAAAAGCTATTCTGTAAACCATGGTTTTGCCTCATCCAAACACCCCCTTAAGAGAGTAGGGTAGGGGATAAAATTTTGGGAAAACATATTTTTTTGTTCTCTGACTTAAAAAAATTTGTCTGGAAAATACTTTTTAGAAAATCACATTTGAAAAAAATAATTAAAAAACTATACTTTGACAAGTGATAGTTATCACCGGTAATGATAAATAGTAGACAGTAGAGGAGAAGAGAAGAGAAGAAGATTTCTCCAATTTTTTAAAACAAAAAAAATAAAAAACACAAAAACAAAAACAAGAAAACATGTAAAATTGTTTTAGTTTTTAAGTTTTTAAAAACGTGTTACTGTTCTTTTTTGTTTTTTAAAACAATTAACTAAAAACAAATTGACAAACAAGTTTTTTTTGTTTTTCTGTTTTTAAAAACAAAAAATCATTTTCAAAACAAAAAAAAAACCAAACAAACCCTTAGTATGCCACATCTCATACTTTGAAAGAACTATCTCAATCTCACTACATCTCGCGCGCCAGTATTCAGGCAGCTCTGTGTTTCACTCCGTAAAGCAAAAGAGCGAAGCTTTGGAGGACTAGTGTTGATGTCAAGAGTTTTGTTCGTTAGAGTGAACAAAACAATAAGAAACTTACAAAGTAGCACCACTCATAGTTTGTGAGTTTAACAATCAGGTGTTAAAAAATTACATTTGTCCACCATGAGAAAACTGAACTACAAACCAAATCTTATATTTAGTATCGGAGATAATATAAGATTGATTAAAAAAAAATCCGCAAAGAATCATTAACAGTGGAAGCTCATGATCATTTGTGTTGCTCTTTCTTTCGTTTTTGTCACATTTTGACCAAGTTACAAGACAGGTTATTTGAACTGTAGACACAAAATAACTTCATTAATAGCTCATTTATTAATTTTCATTCTCATTTACTGTTCTTATGCACAATACACCCAATATATATATACACACACATATATATTTTGAGATCGAGATGAGATTTGAGATGAGATGAAAGGGAATATATTCACTCAAAGAATCAACGGACAACGTGTGGTGGATGACAGTAAGAAAAGGAAAAAAAAAATAGGGAGGAAAAAAAGAGAGACCAAAATAGGTTTTTACTAATAGCTCTTTAGCTGGTGTAAAGGCACTATTATTAATACTGGACCAAGTACTGGGTTCAGTTCTTGATAAGGGACAATCTACATTGTAAAATCCATGCTTTAAGCCTTTGACCATGCTTCTTGAAGGTTTAAAAGTAATGTAATTCTTATTGCCTGCTTTTCAAAGAACCAAATACCTCTGTAAATAATCATCAAATTCAAGAATACAAATGATTTCCAACAAATTTGATCACAATAATTATCAGCTTGGCTTTTGACTGCAATGCCATCAGCTGGGGAAAATTGAGCTCTATCTGAGGCCCCGTCATAGGATCATGTGCTAGTAGGAAGACTGTAGCCACATAATGAAGCCTAAACACTCCATCCAGTCTTAAATATAGAAGCAAATAACTAATTTGTAGAAATTAAAAAATTAATTAAATTAATTATTTGTAAAAAATGTGTGTCGGTTTCACTAAAGCAATGATTTTAATTATTTGCATTACAAACTGCTCTCTTAACAGAAAACACACACTCTTCATATGCGCAATAAGTAATGGAGAGTTTAGGGTTAAGAAAAGGTATAATTTGAGAGACAAAATAAATTAAGAGCTTAAATCTAAGAGACTAAAACCAAAGCAAACCCATTTACTAGCTCTTATATCTAAAACGAGAGAGGGTATATTAATGACGGGGAAAGAATTCCCCAGAAAGCTATCGCTTCATTGGGTCACATTCTTTACAATAGGTGTCACATTCTTACACTATGCACTTGCAAGAGAAATTCATCTGAAATCCAGAGATTATATCCACAACACACTACTTAATCTATCAGCATTTAAAAAAAAAAAAAAAAAAAGGTTCAAACCAAGTGGAAATATACAAGTAAATACTATTCATGTTGGTTGACCCTTTAGAACTAAGGAGGCTTGTCTGATGACTCTTGATACTCTCCAAATTTCGTGCTGCACTCGATGCCATGATTCTTCAGTCTTCAGTTCTTTTGCCACGCTTACAGCATCATCTATCCCCGGGAAGGATTGTGATCCATAGTCATTGTGTTTAGATGGTCCATAGATCTGGAAAATGGAAGCCCGATGATTTAATGTGTTCATCATTTCATCAACAACTTATATATCAAAATGCCATACACGAGTAAAAATTAACATCACTATCAATATCAAGATTATTACTACTAAACAAAATATAATATCTACAGCAAACAGCACTATTCACAAATCACGAGTAGTTATAGTAAATTCATTCCTTAGAATTCGTGCAATGTGCTCTCTTTCTTAAGAGATAATGCCGAAAGAATGAAGAATGAGTTGGGCTTGAAATTCACTTCTTACCAAATGCTTATACCATGTCATTCCAACGAGGCCATCTTTGTCAGCAAAGGCACGCTCAGCCATCATCAGTCTATCATTGAGCTCTCTCACTCTCAACTGGTCTTTCTTCCATGCTGTTGGTATCCAACCTCTACTTTCTTCAATTGCCTTAAAGAATTACTTCTCAATTTGAGAAAAGAACATTCCCTCCAAAGTATAAAAATAAAAAAAAAATAAAAAGGAGAGAGAGAGAGAGAATGCTACTGGTTTCTGTAAAAATGGCGGTCTACAGATATTGAAAGTGCTACCTTTCTCTGGTATTCCATCTCCTTTGCTGCTTTCTCAAGCTCTCTGATGGACTTGAATATGGGAGCCAAACTTATGTCTTTGTTTGAAATCTCACCTTCTAGATTCTTTGAGCTAATCTGCGATTTAAGCTCATGATGTTTTAATCATTAACTAGGTAAGAAGTTGGGAGTGCTCTACTATGCCACATACAAATGAACAAACTATCATTGAATCATACCAAAAATAAAATCTAGTTGGACTGTTGACAAGACATGATTAGTACAACTCATTCGTCAGGTCTTGTGCAATGCACGGGGACCACCTAACATGGACATATACCTGGAGCTCCTTAGCATACGATTGATAGTCAAAAGGCAAGAACTCCTCATCTGCCAGCCAAAGAGCCACTAGACCCCAAACGCTAGCCACTGGTAATTTCCATAACACACGCAGTTATTGACCAGTTTTATTGTTTTAAGCATATGAAACAGGTAAGTAAATTTTCAAGGCTAATTTATCAGAGGCTATAAAAGAAGCTCATAAGACCAACCTGCCACATGCCTTTGAAACTTAGGGTCACCGAATTTCTCCATCCAGATAAAATTATCGTACAATGAGTGGTAGACTGGGTAATCTGCGAATGATTTGAATCAAGTCCAGGTGATATACATCTAATTAATCTGATAGAAATTTCTGATCATGATGCCAACCATAAGGTAAAGGTATATAGATGATTGACATTTGTAAAACAATAGAGTATACATAGACATGAAGCATTTTCTAAAGCAATCTTTTAAAAGTCTCTAATGCATTGGTGGCATCTGCCCATCCCTCGCCTTTAAGTTGAAGTACTTATGCTGACATTTTACAATTAAATCATCACGAAATGATAAACTTCCAAGATACCTAGTTCTTGAAGCAGCCCACTATTGACATGAATGGCATATACTAGTTTGCCGTAAAAGGTTTGAGACATCCAGTCCTACAAATAACACATGTACAAAATGTAGATATAGATAGGACCTAAAACAAAATTCCAGTTACTGGGGGAAAAAGACAAGGATTTTTCCCAAATTCCCATCCTTTCCTTAGGCGTCAAAGCTTCTATTCTAGGGGTTTTACATGTTATTTCATCATAAATACCTAAAAAGCATGCTGACATGTTTTAGTATGAGCTGCTCCTTCACAAACAAATACTTGAACCAAAAAATAGCGACTTCTTTCCTACATCTGTGTTTTTGAGAATTTTCATTGTTTTTTTCTCTACAAAAAGTGAATCTACAGAAACCTGCGTCAGGGCGATGAACAGAATTAATAATGAATCAATTCGGACCTTTACCTTTTCCAAAAGACACATCAGTTGATGGAATTCCCACATGCTGCACAAAAGCTGCATAATCTGATCCCCCGCCTCCTAATCTTCCAAACTTTACATGCAGCAACAAGTTTTTTATGAGCATAGATATTGAGATTATACAGATATACCAACATTTAATCCTCACAGATCACTCCCAGGTTTGGTGAAATTAGAAATGGAGTGATTTCTTCCCATTGCAAAATGCAACTTACAATAGGGAGAATACCACGTGGGAAACCTTAAGCATTATTAACGTAAATATGGATATGTAAACAACTGCAATTTGCCTACCATAGGAGAACTACCAGAAGCAGCCCATGATTCATAGATAGTCAATGATGAGTTATCCGGGTCCTTGACCTTCAAAAGAATCAATATCAATATTGAA